CTAAATATTTTGACATAAAAAATGACTGCTGCTCCTTTCTGCCCACTATAGAAGCACAAATAATTAGCCACAATGCTTTTCAGATGTGGACTGAAACATAGACTCCTGAAATCTACCCCATTAATACACTAGTAATTATATTGAGAAATGCCAATCCGTCAAACAGATGTCTGGTACTATAAGCAGTCCAGGTCTCTGCCAGATATTCATGGCATGCTGAGCATGCGTAGGATTGCTCCAGGTGTTTGAATGAAAAAAAAGTATAACCAGACCTGTCTATAGATATTCCAGTCTTCCAAACAAAGATATGAACTTTGATATAATTGAGAATATAATTTTGAAGCTAAATGCAAAAAATTCCAAGACCATTGCAGCAAGGCAGAGAGAACAGTTACATGCTTTTTTAATATCCCATAATAAATTATTAAATCTTGAATATTTCTTTATTGGCCCTGGGATTTGTGTGCTCAAGGATTGGGTGCTTTCCTCCACATTTGAATAATAGAGAATATTAGAGAATTCTCCTTCTATTACCTAGTGTGGTGGCAAATTTTAGCTCTGATTCCAGCTGGATTAAATTCTTGAGGCTCTTGTCTGAATTGACTCACTCAAAATACAGCCATCAGACACCCCCTTTTTGGTATAGCCCATCAGATAATAATGCATTTGGTAAAACACCTTTCATGTTAGGAGAATGTCAAAGTCCTTCACAGGATTTACTGTGGAGTAGACTGCCTGTGGGAAGCAGCGGTTAACTGGAATCCCGAAGGAGACTTTTTTTAAAAAAAATAAGGATTTGTCATTGAGAAAACACAAAAAGCATGAAGAAAACATACTTTGTCCAACAGAATTGCTTCTTCGTATATTTTCCTGGCATGGAGTGGGTGGTATGGATCATTAGATGAATCATGATTCAGAGAAAAATACCAATTATACAGTCAGCTGTTAAGTAAATCCTGTTTATACCAGGTATAGCATTAATAGATGGGAAAAGGATAGTTTCACTCAGTACCTCTCCTAATACTGCAGAAAAATTATAAAACTGTTCTCACCGTATCCTCTTTATTTCTGAAACTATTTGCCGTGTACACTGCTTAAAAAAAAACTTGCAGAATTACAAGATCTTCAGCATGTATGAGAGCTGCATTGAAATGAAAGAATATGGGTAAATCTTAATCATGTTTGATGATTTATGAACAATTTAGAATATTGCCCTTCAGCGAGTTGTTCAGCCCCCAGTTAAGATGCACATAATGACTACATTTCATCTCCCGTGTTTCAAGCTACTCCATTAGTTGTCGTGCTGACCTGACATATCATGCGAAAACAAATAACCTTTTAAATCCACTTTCCTGATAGCCTTGAAAAAGAAAAAAATAATAACGTCATATTTGATTTAACATCATGTTTTGATTGATAGCATTGTAAACCGGTCGCTTGTTTGGTCAGTGAGGTTTTCTGGCTGGTACAACAAAATTGCTACATACTGGTTAATAAAGAAATTATTGTCAATTTGGGTGATAATTGTCAGGACAATTTTGCTTCTGTTCAATTAAGGCTTAGTTTCATCCTGAAACATAAGGGCATGTTGTCAAATCTTGGAGCAGTGAATCAAACTGAATTGCACAAGCAGTATCCACACCTAGGCCACTATCACTTTGATTTTATTCTAGCGTGATATTGAAAGGTTATCTCCAAAGAAATGCAGCAACTTCCTCCTGCAACATTTACCACTTAGATATTTGTTGAAGGATTAAAGCAAGAGAACATTGGCAGCTCTTTGACTCCACTTTAAGTCTTCTATTTCCTCTCTCCCCTCCACCCCCCACCCCCCCTCAGCTCCCACAGACAGATCAGGAATGTCAAGTGCTTTGAGACATCCTCCTAATGTGAACGACAATATATAAATGTATATTGTATTTCTTCCTCAATTTTGTTTTAATTTTTTTAATATTAAACTTACAAAAAATAAGAAAGGATCTTTCAATAAACAGATGGTGTATTCCACTGAAATTAACATCTCTAAACATTTCAAATTCCACTGCACACTTAAACATTTCACATTGCCCTGGAGCCATACTGTAATAAGAATAATAATCCTTGCATTTGATATAGCGCCTTATCACGTCTTATGGAGTCCTGTAGCTCAGTGGTTAGAGCACTCGCTTTGCAAGTGAGAGACCTGAGTTCAATTCCAGGCAGAGGGCGAAACCTTGGGCAAGTTTCCTTACTCCACACAGAGCCTAATAATAATCCCTCCAAAACAAAAAACAATAATAAATTGGTCATTTTCAATCTACGACTGTTTGTGGGACATTGCTGTGCGCAATTGGCTGCCGCGTTCGCCCACAAATATACAGTCAATTCACTTTACAGTGTGTTCTGTGAAGCGCTTCGGGATGTCCTCCTGACATGAAAAGCGCTATATCAAATGCAAGGATTATTATTATTATGAGACGTCTCAAAGCGCTTCACATAATATACTGTATATACTGAATTGACTGCATATTTTGTGGGTGAAATATGGCAGCCAATTGCGCACAGCAATGTCCCACAAACAGCTGTGAATTGAAATGACCAATTTTTTTTTTTGAAGGAATTAGTACCTGCAGAAAAGTGATCCGCCAATTAACTAACATCCGGGTTGCTAGATTTTGCCCTATCGGTAATTGAACCCAGGTCCTCTCACTTGTGAGTCGAGTGCTCTGAGCTACAGCTAATCTTCTTAGCTGCCTGGCCATTGTTAAGCAGAATGCCCTCGAACAAGAATACTCCTGAAATTGCCTGTTACAATATTGAGCACCAATGCCAATTGAAGCATGTGATTTTATTCCTGGAGGCACACCCTTTATAGTCTGCCTTCAAAGAGCATTTTTGTCACCAAGTACACTTGAACCCATAATAATAATAATAATCCTTGCATTGGATATAGCGCCTTATCACGTCTTCGAGACGTGCCAAAGCACTTCACGGAATGTACTCTAAAGTGAGTTGACTGTATATTTTGTGGGCGAACCGAGAGCTAAGGAGAGGCTGGGGAGGGCTTAGAAGACCTTCCCTGGTCAAATTGCAAGCTGTAAAACTAAGATGTTATCAATCTCAGACACTCCGCTCACTCTCCCTCCTTCCCCCACCCCTCCTCCATTGGTTCAGGCTGAAGTCACCACTGCACATGTTGCACTGGGTCATTCATTCTATTACCCACGAGAACATTCCTTCCCCTTGAGGTTGGCCGGTGTAGCAGAAACCCGATCTGCATCAGTAGCAACAGCACTGGTTCAGGTCAAACCACTTGGCTGCCTTGCCAGCTCAGCAACCTTTCTGAGTGAGTTTCTTTATCGACACTGCACTTTGTGCAGACGCCTTAGGTACAGTCAGGCTGACATTGACCACCTCACCCATTGCTTCCCCAATTGGGTTAAAATAAAAGTACTCTCTATGTGACAAGATACTGTCCAAAATACAAGCCGACAAGGAGATGGAGTGAGTTACAGTTTGTGTGTATCAAATGATCGTTGAACAACCTATTGCTGAGTGTTACTGTGATTATTATTATTATTTCTATCACTGGGTGGTTCAACACTATGACAGATACAATTTGCAATCGGTTGAGTTTCAGGGCTGTTAAGAAATCAAAGAATAGCACCGATGCCTTTCTCCCAGACTTAAGTGCCTTAGCTCATTGCTCAATATTAATTACAAACGAACCCAACATAAATCATCGATCACTTAACCAGTTGCAACTTGGATTGATATGCGAGCAGTTTTGCTCGCGTTGGTAAATATCCCCCCACTTATTCTGCAAATGAAAACCACGCCAGACGCAACGCAGCAAAAAAAAAACCCACCTCATTTATTCGATTAGTTTTTTAAAAAAAATAACAACAGGTGGGTGATTCATTGAACACTTGAGGCAGGTATTTGGGCTTTGCTTTTGAGTCAAGCGAGTTCTCTTTGGATGCTGAGCAATGCAAACAACACAGATTATGGGGAGGGTGGGGGAGGAAAGTGGCCAGAATTCCCTCTTCTCAGAAACAAAACAAAATAAAAAAAAGGTTAAAAATCCGCGTGCAAAGGCAGCTATTGCCTTTTGCAATGTGTTTTGGTGTCCAGTTGCCTTCAGATCAAATGAGCAAATCCAGTGCGGCTCACATTTTACGCCACCATTCGGGTTAACGTGGAGTCGTGGAGTCCTGCAGCTCAGCCGTTAGAGCACTCGCTTTGCAAGCGAGAGACCCGAGTTCAATTCCAGGCAGAGGGCGAAACCTTGGGCAAGTTTCCTTACTCCACACAGAGCCCTAATAATAATCCCTCCAAAACCCAAAACCAGTAATAAATTGGGTCATTTTCGATCCACGACCGTTTGTGGGACATTGCTGTGCGCAATCGGCTGCCGCGTTTCGCCCGCAAATATACAGTCAATTCACTTTACAGTGCGTTCTGTGAAGCGCTTTGGGACGTACGTCTCGGAGACGTGAAAAGCGCTATATCAAATGCAAGAATCATTATTATTATTATTATATTATTATTATTATTATTATTAACCCGCAGCCTCTGCTCCGCTAACAGCACAGCACAGCACAGCACAGCACAGCCCCTCTCTCCCTCTCTCCTCTTCGGTAAATTGGGATTTCCGCAAAAGGTGGAAGGCTCTGACACTCCGGAGGTGCAGCAAAAAATCGCAGCAGTGCTCCGGCAAAATCCCGCAAAGCACAACTGCGCACCTCGTCCAGATGTGACTGTGCGAACCAAAAGCAGAGAAGAGAAAAAAAAATCTGTGCAGCGTTGCACAGATCCGCAAAAGGGGGACATTGCATTTTTTTTTTGGAGGGGGAGAGGGGGATATGGGGGGGTTCTGACCAGAAAGAGAAGAGGAGATAGAGAGAGAGAGAGAGAGAGAGACAATCCCACTGCACAGAGCACGCAATTTGCTTTATGTGTATATATACGTATATGTCTATATATATATATTAAAAAAATGCAGCGCACGTTTTACTCACGTTTGCCTTCTTCATAGGGAATTTGTGGGGGGTTGTGGCGATGGCTTTTGCAAAGATCCCTTCCTATTAACTCGATTGGGAAAGCTCTCCCCACCGCATGTTGTCAGGAGAGGGAGAGAGAGTGAGTGAGTGAGTGAGAGTCGCAGAGGCTGCGGTTGAGTTGCATTCAGTGCCTCTCTTCCCCTTTCACTTTTTTTTCTCTCTCTCTCTCTCCCACTCTCCCAAGTGCTTTAACACAGCGGTGGGGGATTTGAGGCATTTCCCTTTCCGAGAAAAATACAAGGACACGCCTGCTCTGCTGGTAAACTCGCTGGCAGTCACATCACTGCACGGTGATGTTGCACAAAATCGAAAGGTTGCATTGCTTTGCTTTATTGCTCTCTCTCTCTCTCTCTCACACTCTTTTTTTTTGGGGGGTGGGAAAACGTGAAAAGAATACCAAATCCCCCCCACGGATTTGTCCCTCTTTGCGTCCGGGTTGCCCACATCGTGGGGCGCCGCGCGTTCCTTTCCGTGCACGGTTTCACTGCCAAAATTTTTTTTTAACGCTCTCGCGATGAATTGCCAAACGTGTGTTTCTTCTGGTTATGGTTTTAACAGCTCGTCGGGGAGTGGGGAGGGTGAGAAAAGGTGAGGTGCACCTGTTTCGCTCACTGGCACACAGTGCCCAAGGCTTTGGGCATTGCAGTTATTGAGGAACCAAGCACTTGCATTTTTATGGTGCCTTATTACGTTGAAACGTTTTGCCAAATGTTCTATAATAATGACTGGTAAGTGCTGACATAATGAGGAATATTTGGCGCACGTCAAGGTCCCACAATCAACCAAGACGTAAGACTAAGTAACGGGTTATATCTGTTTTCTACTAGTGTCGTGGGCCATGTAATATCCACCTGAACAGTCAAATGGGACCTTGATCCAACCTCTGATCCAAGGGCGTCACCTCTGACAGTGAGGTGCTCACCCAGTGCCCCACTGGAATGTCGGCCTTGATTACGAGCTTAAAAAAATGACGTAAACATGAACCCAAAATTCTTTTGACCGTGGGTTACCAGACAAACTTTGAACCGTTTTAGTTTGTTGTAAAATTTTCAGTCCTGCAAAAAAATTGTGTACAAGAAAACTGCAGAATCCGGCATGGGAAAAGTTTTGTGTTGGTTTTGCTGCACAAGAGGAAATAACCTCTTATTTAAAATCTCTGAACTTGGCATGACGCTATGCCAGATATCGTGCTTCATGTTGGACTTGTTTTTGTTAAACAGAAGTTAAATTTCAAACCTTCAACAAGAATTACAGTGGTTAAAAGAAACGGAGGAGAGACGAGGAGAAATTTTTTCACATACGAGTTGTTCGGATCTGGAATGCATTGCCTGAAAGGGTGGTGGAAGCCGATTCGATAACAACTTTTAAGAGAGAAGTAGATAATCATTTAGGGAGGACAAGTTGGCAGAGCTATGGGGAGAGCGCGGGAGAGTGGGATTGATTTGGAAGCTCTTTTCAAAGAAAGAATGAATTCTGTTCACTGAAGGCTGCAAAGAATACTGTAGAAGGACAAAGGAAATGCAGTTCACATATAGCAGGTGCCCCGTTCCATGTGTAGTTAATAGAGGAGAATGGATCAGAAGGTTGTGGATTCACACCTCATATTGGGACTTCAGCTCATGGTCTCAGCTGACGTTCTGGTTCAGTATTAGTGAAGCACCTCAAGTTCAACAGGTACATAGAAATGCCGCAAAACAGGAGGGAAATTTGAAAGGCATTGTAACATTCAGCATTAAGGGGTTTTAGTTTAACGTAACACCAGTAAGTTTAATTTAGCCAACACTGTTATGTTCAATTGGCTGCCTCGTTTCGCCCACAAAATATACAGTCAATTCACTTTACAGTATATTCTGTGAAGCGCTTTGAGATACTTTGAGATGTCTCAAAGACGTGATAAGACACTATATCAAATGCAAAGAATATTATTATTATTATTATTATTTAATCACTGCAATTGAATTTACCATCAGCAAATTTAGTTTATCTGTCTAGAGTATAGCCTAAAGTTCCTTCAGGTGAAAATAAACAGCTTCTGTTCTCTCCTTGCTTCTGGCTCCTGCCTAAAAGAAGCCTCATCGGGGTAAATTAAACTTGCTAGTAGTTAAGTTAAACTTACTGGTGGTAAGATAAACCCATTATTGGTTAAGCTAAACTCATTTGTGGTAAGTTGAATTTGCTGATGCTAAATTAAATTTGCCATGATTAAATTAAACTTAGTGTTGATAAGTTAAACTCGCTGGTTATAAGTCAATTGCAGTAATAATAAGTTAAACGTACTGGTGGTCAAGCTAAACTCAGTTGTAAATAAGTTAAATTCATTGGCAATACGTCAAACTCACTTGTAATAAATTAAATTCACCGGTGGTTAAGTTAAACTTACTGGTGGAGAGATATTTGAGTACAAGCTGGCTCTCTCAATTGCACAAAATGGTTTGGATTGTGGGAGCATATAAGTTATCAAAGGTTTGTACAATCTTCACAGAATTGCCATAAATGTATCAGTGATCTCATAAAGGTTATGGGGATGAAAATACCACACAATACACAATGGTCCCAAGAATAGAGGACGTGACTTCAGCACTCAGACAATATGTGTTTAGGTTCAGTGCCGAATCGTGAAACATTTCTACTTCCTCAGTGAAGAAAGGCAGGCACCTCCTGAGATTCCGATGCTGTCTTGCAATTTACAAATTGTGGAGGAGGAAGCTGAGGTAGCCCGCAACTGGATCAGGAATTATGAAACAAAATTTCAATCGGGTATGCTTGCATGTTCAGTCATGTGTCTTCAGGTTGTGGCAAATCATCAGAACTACTATCACGGGCAATCAGGTTGTCATGTTTTCTCAGTTCCTCGCTACCCACATGTCTCAGGCAGTGCCTTTGTGCTGAAACCATAAATTTGTGCCGATTTGTGATTATCAACCGGGTTGAGAGCATTCAACGAACTTCCAAGGACTTTTTTGTGCAACTGTTCACCCGGTACCATATTTGTAAGTCTGTATAATGGGAGGGGGGATTTGTTTTTATAAATACAGTATATTTTTCAAATTGGAAGAAGAGTGGAATATACACATTGCTTCCATTAAGCAGCATGTTTTTCACCATAAATCACCATATGATTTTAAAAAAATAAAGTGGTAAGGAGATTAGTTTTATAAAGATGTCAGCACGGTGGCATTAAATTAAGGTCTGGGTTATTGGAATACCTGTGGGAAAAGTACAATTTGGTAGCTATTGGTAGTCATTAATGCCCAGTTTATAATGTATCTTTTAATGGTGAAGTTCACATAATTTAAAAGTGAATTGACTGTCCTGTCATTTGTTTTCAATTATTAGAGAACTCACTGGTGATGGAAGCTAGGTGAACAGCGTTCTGTCCACGGGTGGAAGAATTTGTTTGCTGACACTAACACAGCTCTGAAGGAGGAACAAATAAAGATCACTTACCAGAAAAATAAGCAAACAGCAAAAATAATAACATGAATTAAGTTGTTTATTAATCATTAATCCCTTGTTTGGGATGGCACAAATTTGTGTGGTTGTATGAGAATGCTTGTGTCTATGTTACGGGGTGCGGTCCAGTGTGTATAGTAATAAGTGGGTGGATAGTAACTGTAGTATCAGAGTGACATTGGGGAAGGCAGCGAAGCATATGTGCCTATTGGCTGTTGACCGATTTCATGGATTGATTTCAGTGAGGGTTGAAGAACTGAAATTAATTGTCTTTGGTACTCCTGAGGAAGGCAAGGGTTAGGTAAGCCTTGTTTTTTTTTCCTGGTATATATGATGATGCACAATGCGTCCTGCTGTCATCTTCAATTTGGCCCAGAGACAAACTACTTCAAGATTAATGCTTGTAAAAATACTCACAGGATTAACAGGCATGACTGCATTTTATTTTCTATCTCATGAGGAACATTTCCCCTCCCAATGGATTTGGGGTAATTTGGTGATGCGAACACAAAACTATACCAGAGACACAATCGAAGAGAAGGGTCTTGAGACCGGCCTTGAAGCAGGCAAGGGAGAAAGCGAGGCGAAGGGACCGTGAGATGGAGTTCCAGAGTGTGGGGACAGAGAGGCTGAAAGCCCGGCCACCGATGGTAGGGCTGGTCGGGCGGGTGACATGGAGGAGGCCGGAGCCCGATGAACAGAGGGAGCTGGCAGGTTGGTAGGGAGTCAGCAGGTCAGAGAAGTAGGAGGGGGCAAGGCCATGGATGGCCTTAATGGTGAGGACGAGGATCTTGAGTGGAGTCGGGCGAGGGTGGGAGTGATGGGGTCACGGAGCCTGGTGTGTGAGAATACACGAGCTGCAGAGTTTTGGATGATCCACAGCTTGTGAAGGGAAGAGTTGGGAAGGCCGATGAGGAGGGAGTTCCCGTAATCGAGCCTTGATGTGATGAATGTGCGGGTGAGGGTTTCGGCAGCCTGAGGGGTGAGGCAGTGTCGGAGTCTGGCAATGTTGCGGAGGTGGTGGTAGGCAGTGCGGATGTGGGGGAGAAAGACAGTTCAGGGTCAAACAAGATACCCAGGTTCTTGACTGGCTTAGTGAGGTTGAGTGTGCAGCCGTGGAGGCTGATGCTGCCAGCGCCTGAGGTGCGGAGGAGATGGTGCGAGCCAATCAGGAGGGTCTTGGTCTTGCTGACGTTGAGTTGGAGAAAGTTGTCCCTTGTCCAGGACTTGATGTCGGACAGGCAGTCGGTCAGGAAACCAGTAGTCCTGGAGTTTAGGGTGGAGGCAGAGAGGTAGAGTTGGGTGTTATCTGCATACATGTGGAAATTTACCCCATGTCTGCGGATGATGTCACCAAGGGGGAGCATGTAGAGGGTGAAGAGGAGGGGACCGAGGACAGAGCCCTGAGGAACACCGCACATGACAGTGCGGGGGCTGGAGGAGAAACCGTTTGTCGCGATGGTGGAGGTGGTGTGAAAGGTAGGACCTGAACCAGTCAAGGACAGAACCTTGAAGTTTGAGGTGGGAGGAGAGGTGGTGGTGGAGGTCTCTCACTGGCGAGGTGAGTACTCTAATCACTGATCTACAGAACGTCACAAAATCCTGTGGATTATCCAGTGAGTAATGCGGAATCTGGCCATCAGGCTACAGATTCTGAGGTCAGGAATAAAGCATAAGAGAAAATA